TCTATCGGCGTGCAATATATTCGGCGTCGCAGCCGTTTTACCCTTTTCGCGCGAATATCAGGCTTTTAATGGCATCTAATATAAATTCCCTGGATAGTACGATATAAACTTATTATATCACATCCTGGTATGGATATATTTCCGTATAAATATGAAAAATAAAAGTTTTATGGTTTGTTAGTACGTAAATCGTAAGGAGTAAAGCGAGTTAAATTGTGACAGAAACGTCGTACGAATAAGACACCTCTTTGTCGTGGTAGTATGCGGACCGTATAAATGATGTCGCAGAGTCGCGAAAGGTTGCGTTAACAAGCACCGACACAGGAGGACTACCACCTCAACCAGGTTATCGGAATCGCCGTGGAAGACACTGAGTATCTTCAAGTTTAGACCTGGTCAGACATAGTCTAAAAAGACAACGTCTGGGCAAATTCTCTAAACCATACCTCCTTTTTATCTCTCCCAACACAAAAAAGCTGTGAACCACTCAAGGGACTTGTGGCCCCTGTGTACAAGTACATCTTTTCTGCAAGTTTTCACGTAAACGTACTCATCCAGTGTAAAATTCACCAGTCATTACTATAAAAACATCTTCAATCGTAGCGTCTGCCGGGGCGTTTTCGGTTACCTAAAAGAGGTACACTAAAACTTAGCACAGTCCTTTTATTAGAGACAGTTGTTGGCCGCAAATTCTATAATGTCCAAAACAGTCGGTCCTATTAGAAGGTGTCAAATACTAAATACTTCATGTCTCCGATTACAACCCCGATATTTCTTGATTGTCGGTGCCAGTGTACTGAAAGTGCAGTGTGCGAATTCGATTTACCCGATTACAACCGGATATTTCCTTGATGTTAGTGCTAGTGTCCTGAACTGGAGTGGTGACGATATCGATTTCCACGATTACAAACCCGATATTTCCTTGATGTCGTGCCAGTGTACTGAAGTGCAGTGGTGGCGATTCGATTTCCTCTGATTACAACCCGATATTTCCTTGATGTCGTCGCCAGGTGTACTGAAGGTGTAGGACGACGGAGAAAGTAACACAGGAGATCTACTACCTATAAACAAGGTATATGACA